CCTGAACAATATCTATTTCGATAAACTCAAAACAGCAAATATACGTAATTTAAGGTAAAAATCCAACGACGATTTGCTTAACTTTCCCGGCGACATTTAAGATTTTATGTGTAGCGTCATCTGTTATGATATTTTATTATTAAAAACGTTTTATATTTTTAATTATTATAAAATGGCAAAAAGCTTAATTTTCAGGAAGGGGATGGGTTATATAAAAAAATTTCAAATGCTAATAACGAGTAAAATAGTCATTAAGTCCAACCCTACTATAGATATGGCACACGATCCCCTTTATCTCTCCACCTCGTCAACCTTTAACCACCAAAATTTAATAAAATTTCAATCTCCCTAATACACAAACCTTCCTTCAAAATTTCAGAAAATTTCCACAAAAAGCACTGGAATTATTAAGCTTTCAAAGAGGGTGAACAAAATCGTGCACCCTGCACATGCACACAAATTACCACGGACATACAGAAAAAATCCCGAATTGTGTTGCCTTGTATTCCTTGCATATACGATATTTGCTGATGTATATCTTCCATACAAATCTCTGCTAATTTCGGATAAAACCCGTGGTTATATCATTTTTTTTTTTGTTGATGAATTTTTGATACCATTTTTGTTGTAGAAAAACTATACTTACACTGATTGAATTTCGTGAAATTCTCAGATCAGTCGAAGATAAAACAAAACTTGATAGTTGCATTAACATTTACAATATTTTTAAAAAATCCTTATTAAACTCAAAATTAAATCTTGTTTGCCTTTTTTGTGTTAACAAAGGGAGTGTCAAAAATGGAAGTGTCAACAATGGGAGTGTTAAGAATAAAAGTGTTAAGAATGAGTGTTAACAATGGAAGTGTTAAGAATGAAAGTGTTAACGATGGGGGTGTCAAAAATGAAAGTGTTAATAATGGAAGTGTCAACAATGGAAGTGTTAACAATGGAAGTGTCAAGAATGGAAGTGTTAACAATGGAAGTGTTAAGAGTGAAAGCGTTAACAATGGAAGTGTTAACAATGGAAGTTTTAACAAACGGAAGTGTTAAGAGAAAGCGATGTGCAAGATTTACAGGTGCAGATGCGGTTTTTTGAGTTTTTGCGGGATATCGAACATATTTTTAGACCCAACTAATCATTATCATTATTTTGCAACATGAATTTCATGAAAAATTTCGAAGTGAGTAACATTTTTGTTGGTAATGAGTTTCAGGAAAAAGGGCACATTTATAAGGGAAAAAGTCCAGGTGGACTCATAATATCAGAATGAAATAAAAAGTCGGTGTTTCAACTTCTGAAATGACAGTTACTCTATCAATTAGTGTACTGTACATAGGGTTGCCACCTGTCCGGGTTTGACCCGGAGACTCCGGGATTGAGTGAGTTATCTCCAGGCTCCGGGGTTAATTAATATTTCTCCGGGTTGTGCAAGTTGAAATGAATATGTACAAAATTATATGCAAACCGTCGCATATATTTGCTTGTACGATTCATTCGTAATCATATACACCTCCAATATCCAATAGAATTAGGTCACTTGCGTTACTCCTATCAAAGTCTCCTTAGTCGCTTACTGTAACTGATGTAGAACCGGCATGCTCTGCAAATTATTCCTTCGCATTGCAAAATGACATTGCGCATGAGTCAGGAACTTCTGTTCGAACAAACCTCACCTGCCGTCCGGGTCAGCGATTTTGAAAAGGTGGCAACTCTAACTGTACATCGTACACTTTTCAGGTAATAATAACAATTACACTAATTTAAAATGATAAATTCTTTCTGGAAGACCCTGTATTATCATTTTCCATAACAGAGGAAAAGTATGATGATCGGTGAAAAAATGCTCGCTCCCCCATTTCTAACCTTAAAACGTCGAGAAATTCAAAAAAGTTCGGGATTTTTTCTGTATGTATGGATGTTAGTGTGTGTGAAGGGACCACGATTTTGTTCACCCTCTTTCAAACTTAGTAACTGCTGTGATTTTGTTGAAAATTTCTGAAATTTTGCAGGGAGGTTTACGTATTAGGGGCAATGTTCCCTCTAAGCTGCTCAAATTGTTGCCGCGCACGAGAATTTATGTGCCGCACAGGCGAGCATGCACACACTGATTTGAATTGTTGTTTACTTATTTCTCATTCTGTCTGCAACATGATTATTGGTGCCTATATTTCGATTAAATACATTAAATCATTGACAAAAGATAATATTTTGTATAAAAGTATGTTTTAAAATGAATTTTAATCTCTACTTTATAATTAATTATTTTAATTTTTATAGGAAAAAATAAGATTTTATATATATGCTCAGAAAAATTTTTTGCTCAGAGAAGTATATGTTCCGCTCATCTACAAAAAAAAATTAGAGGGAACATTGATTCGGGGGATTAAAACTGCTAAATTCTGGTGGTTTTTAATACTCGTTTTTACTAAAATATCGTAACAAATGGAGCAAATCGTTGCTGGATTTTCTGTAATATACAAATAATGTTAATTTTAATCCTTAATTTTGTCGTATTTTATAACTTTACACTTTTTATACACAATTTTTATTGATTTTATGTTTTATGAATCTTAGACTAGATTTATTTTGCTTTTATTTTTTAATTTGTATTTTTATTCTTGTTAATTTTCTTATTTTTTGGTGTATTGAATAATATTCTAGAGACGGTCTTACATACCACAAAGCACTGCCTTTTTTTTAATAATTAAAAATTTGGTCTTTATACCGAAACTGAAACTAAAATTAAAAATAAAATCGGTTTCGGTTTCGATTTCGGTTGGTGGTGACTGAATATTTTGCTTTTATAATATTATATTACATCTGTGGGTATTTTTATGCATGAATATAGTTTAAAATGTTTTAAAAAGAACTTTTGTTTGGGGGGTCGAAAACGGATTAATCCATTTTACATTCTTTCTTAGGGGAAAATTTGCTTTGGTTTTAGTTACAAATAGTTTTCGAAAACGTTTTCTTTAATAAAACACAGAATTATTTTAAATTAGCTAATTAGATTACTTAGGCGCGAGACGGATATTTATGAAAAAATGTTTATAATTTAAAAATTTTAATTAACAATTTAAAAAATTAAATTTCAAAAGGTAAAATAAAGGTAATCGTAACGAAATCGGATGCGCCTCCATTATTATCGTTCGGAATAGGAATCGCTTTTGTCTCATATATAAACGCGAAATTTATTAGAAAAGTATTTAATAAATATATAATTACTATTAAAATATATTCAGATTACGATGAACTTTTAAATCAAAATGCATTATAATTAGGGGAGACCGGGGCAACTTCGGCAGGCGGGCAAGTTTGTCAAGCGCTTTTTTTAAAAAACAAATTAAAAGGAGACTTTGGTTATAGGTTAGGCAGTTGAGTTTTATTGGTGGCTTGTTGAGTGTAGTGTTTTTATTGTTCTCCAACAAGCGTAGTTGAATTATCAAGCAAATTTTCATTTTCGTTCAATTCCATATAATATTTTTTTTCCATTTATATTGAATTGGCAGGTTTTGTTATAATTCCATGATAACGAAAGTTACTTTTCCTGTTAGAAGGATGTAACTTCAACTTATTCACGTGGCCAGATCGTGGCTTGGCATTCTGTTCTCAGGGTTGTACTTAATGTTTCGAAATCATGACTAGCGGGGTAAGATCGGCAACATAAAGCCACATTAGAAGCAAAGGATAAAAATCAAACAGATGATAAATGAAAACATGTTTGCATTTGTTATTCATGTATATATGTCTTTGAACTTGCATTTCGTTGTAATAATATTAAATGGGTGTTGGATTTGTATTTCTTTGTTTTAATAGTGAATTCCAACTTATACATTGTTAATAACATAATTTTATATACGTGCCTATCTTGCCCCATTACTGTTGCCCCTATACCAGGGGCAACTTTAATAAAAATAATTAAAATAATTACAACTTTACAAAAAGAGAGAAGTTGCCGATCTTGCCCCTATACCCGGGGCAACTTCGGCAATTTCTCTCTTCTTGTAAAGTTGTAATTATTTTAATTATTTTTATTTCCAAACTGATTTTAACCAGTTCTATAGTAAGGCAACATTCCAATAGACAATATGCAAAGCTTTTTTTTTCAGTTTACAGCAGTATTTATTACACAAAATGTAAGTAAAGCTTAACATGCCGATCTTGCCCCGGTCTCCCCTACAGTGGGTGATCGGTTAACAAACATAATCCGTTTGTTCGCTATCCGAATTGTTCGTTAACCGATTATCAATTTACCATAGGTTTGTATGGGAATGTGATTAATTCCTTCTGGAGACCCCCAAAAATAAAAAATATATATATTTTTTCTTACTACGTTTATTTATATGTAATAATAAAAATACATATATACAGTCTTGCATTTTTATTAGTTATATTTTTTTGTTTGTGGGGTTAAAGAATCTGTCTAATGTCGATCACTTTTCTCTCTTCAGGATTTTCAGAATTAATAGCATTGTAATTGTAGAGATCCCCAAGCCTATTAACCTCAACCTGGTTTGTATGCCCTTCTAAGACCGTTGATCTGACATTCCCCATTTCTTCAAAAGATCTTTAATTAATAGCAGATATCGGCATTAATCCTCTTTATCATAATTAAACATATCTCACCGAGTTTCTTGATGTTCTTCATTCAAGAGTTCTTGGCGTTCTTCTGTCATCAGATCCGTTTCGGGTTCCATTATGAGCTCTTCAATGTTCTTTATTTCTTAGATGCGATATTTGTTACTCCTTTAGCCGCTTGAGTTTTCTTAATTATACAGTTTCTTTCTTAGATAAGATTGAACTGCGCCCTACTGTAGATTTGTTCAAGCCATACTGCCCAGAAACACAAGGCATTCTCTGCCCATTCTTTATCTTTGCTATTATACTCTCACCTTACGAAAATAAAACCCACGCAATAACGAGTGCCTGCCTGATAGTCTCACGAATACTATAAAAAATTCTTTCTGTCAGAAAAATAAAAGGCTGGAATTACAAGGGAGAATTTCAAAGTTCGGAGAAATACTATCCGGTTGGTTAATTGGTTAGTTAATTTTTATTGGCATAAAAGCCATGCAGGCTATACTGCGCCACGACAAATGGTATGATTGGGTGTATAAAATAAATAGGAAAACACATATATACAAAACAGTTTAACCATTAGAAAGCCAATGGTAGTATATATATAAAATCTAAAATATAAATAAATAAATAAATAAACAACAACAAAAAATAAATAAATAAACAACAAAAAATATATACAGTAATTTAAATATGCACCATGAAGTAAATAAAACTATACAATAAATAAATCATCATATTTCTCTATACATATTAATGACTTTCAGAAAGTCCAGTATATTATCCAGGTTTGGCCTCTGGCCCAAAATGTCTCTAAAGCTTGCATTTCCGAAATGCTGTCTACGACTCTGATCAAAAGCAACACAGTTGCAAAATATGTGTTTAACACTTACAGCACAGTTGCAGTGCTGACATACTGGTTCGTCATCTCCCTTCAAAAGGTATTGATGAGTCAGTCGAGTGTGTCCAATTCTCAAACGAGTAAGGATAACCTCAGATCTCCTATCATATTGCCTATTATGTGTCCAATTTTCTACCAAAGGTTTGATCTCGTGAAGTTTATTGTGGATTTGTGCATTCCACACGTTTTGCCATCTCTCTGCTAGTCGTTTTTTAACGACTAGCTTCAAATCACCTCCTTCAATACGCATTGTATGCTGTGAAGGACTTGCTGACTTAGCAGCTGTATCAGCTTCTTCATTACCTCTTATACCCACGTGGCCTGGGACCCAACAGAACTTCACAAAAAAATTTCTCGTAGTGAGATGACAAATTAGTTTTCGAATTTTAATAACTATGGAGTGAGAACTACGTTCATACGAGATCAAAGCCTGAAGTGCACTAACTGAGTCAGTGTAAATCACGCAGCAACGATGACCTTTCCGATTTATATACTTTAAGGCTAAATAAATAGCCTGCAACTCCGCAGAAAAGATGGAAGAATTCGGTGCTATTTGTTCTGCCACAATTTCATCCTGGCAAACAAAGGCTAAGCCAACATAGTTATCCGATTTAGATCCATCGGTGTATATAGGAATTAAATTCCTGTTACGATGCTGAATTTCTGCGAAGTGCTGTCTATAGACGTAGTCTGGCGTGGTTTCTTTAGGGAACTGCTTTAAGCTTAAATCAACATCGATCGGTGAAGATGACCAAGGTGAAATACTATTAACCTCAACATGTGAGATGTTGCTTGTGTCTAGGTCAATCGTGCTGCTTACATTCTCCATTCTAATGTTGAATGTAGGGACACAACTCGTTCGAGCGGCAAATAATCTTTTCAGCTGAGTATCTGGACAATCAGCTGTAAGTTTTTTCTGAGATTTTTGTTTAATGTAATAAAAAAGAGACAACTGTTCTCTCCTGAGAGATAGAAATACTATCCGATCAGTATATACAGGGTTGAGCGTCGATGTTGACGTCTCCCGCGCTCCGAAAAGTTTCGAATTGTTGCCCAAAGACGAGGGAAGACCAATCGGCATTTGCTATTTCCGTCGCTTCTTTTCATGTTTGTTCAGTGAAGTGTTCGTTATCCGAACATGTGTTCGTTAACCGATTATACATTGTACTTGAAATCGTCAATTATACGTATCTTGAAAGCGCAAGACAAATAACGGCAATGTTACTTCCGGTTTACTAGGGCAATGTTAGTCTTATATAATTGGCAGAATATAGATCACGTGCCATAGATGAAACTGATTTTGATTGTGATATATATGGGACAGTTTTCGATGCTTATTCCTCTACATATACTGCCCATATAGATAGATATTAACTTTCGTGCGTTCTGAGAATTAAATATATGCTTATCTATTATACGAGGTATTACACAGCTAACATTTTTGTTTTATTTAATTTTTCATTCTCGAAGCAATTTTTTATATAATATTTTATTTCTTTTAATTAAATAATAATATTTCTACTATTGCATTTACAATTGACACTGTCAAAAATATTTTTAAAATACAATACAGTAAAAGCTCGATATAACGAACCTCTACTATAACAAAACTGAACAGTATTTGAACAGGTGTAAATGATGAAAAACTGACAGTTCTTTTATCCACACGTTCAGGTCAATCTGTCAGTTATACCGGTACCCATATAAATACTTGAATCTTTTCAATGAATCTATAACAAACTATCTGTACTACTACTTTTCCACCGTAACGTTATTTGACCTTGCACGCGAGCTATGTGCGTACTGCCATGCAGCATAAGCTAAGGGCAATAAATCAACTGAAATTTATTTGGAGGTCCCTTAAAATTAAAAACCCCTAAGTAGTTGTTACACATGAAGTACAGGTAACCCCCGTATAACACGGGAGTTACGTTGCAAAAAATTGCCGTGCTATGCGAATCCGTGTTATACGGAACAAAGAACTAGTGCGAAAAGGGGGGTTAGGTTCCACAAATTAAAAAATATGTTGTTAAATCCTTATTTGAATCGGATTTATTATTCATTTTTTTTCATAGGTAAAATACTTATTTTAGTAAATATTTTACCAGAGGATTATTCATTTTATATGATCTCAGCATGAGCATCATCAACTGGTAACAGTTTGTGAGTGCGTTCGTTAATAGCGGTCGCTCTGCAACGGGAGTGCGCTGCGTTTGTAGGCATTTAGGAGCGACGGTGAAAGAAAGATGGCGGCGCCCGCACTATCGATAGTATCGTGTGGAGGAATCTATAATTCTAAAATGAGCTTTTAGAGGCAAAAGAAGGGTGCCAATTGTATAATTTAACCATTAAATGAATTATTTGTTGAAAGAGCCAAGAAAACAATTAGAATGCTCGCGCGGAGGTATAAAAGAACGCACCCTTCATTACATTTTATGTTGTACGAGGGTTTTACCCAATTTCCGAACCGTGTTAGAGTGAACCCGTGCTATAGAAATGCCGTGTTATACGGGGGTTACCTGTAATACACTATTGCTCTTTTTTATGAAATACAGTAGAACCTCGATTATCCGGACTAATTGGGGATGAAGGTAGTCCGGATAAGGAAAAATCCGGATAATCGAAACAGATACTTTAATTTGTCTTTTAATGATAATACAACACGTTTTCTTTTCGATGACATATCGGTAATATTAAAAGTAAATACTGTATTTAAATCGTGATCAAATTTTCAAGAAACAAACGTTCGTATTGAATTTAGACTACTACTAACCAACACTAACAGACTACCTATTGTTTAAAAGCCCCTCTGGTGGCGCAAGAAGACGGATTTTATAAAATAAAAAGCAGTTGAAACTGCATTTTTATGAAAAAATTTTGACAAACTATTTATCGTTTTATGACAAGTAAAATTTTTTCGTCACGTTCACGGCTTTTAAGTAATGTATAAACCTTCGAGGCGCCGAGGCCCTTCGGACCGCGAGGAATAGGCGGTGGCCCATGTCGTCCATGCCTTACGCCGCCCTTGGTCATAGAAATGATGTAATTTGAATACAAATTATTTATAAATATGTATGTCAAGTTATATTTTTATTACTACGTAAAATATATTTAAGAGTTTACGACCACTGTGCCGGGTGAGACGTTGTTGGAACAAAAAAAGTTATGCATTCCATCACGTACATAAACAGTGTCGTAATTCGCCAAGTGCAAATCAGCAAATTCGAAAAATTTTTGTTTACTTTGAACAATCCGGATAATCGAAAATCCGGATAATGGAGGTCCGGATAATGGAGGTTCTACTGTAAATCAAACCATCCATTTTAGATACAATGAGACAGGATTTAATTTCTAAACAAGGTTATAAGTTTTACAAATATGAATGATTCATTATCTTAGAATGTATCCCACGCAAGTCTGTCATCGCATCTGTTTGTGTTTATAATTTATGCAGTTCGGTTTGCAAATTACGAAGATTTTACTTTTATAATTGATCATTTCTGTCATTTTAAATGAAACTAAATTAGAACTAAAATTAGCCCATATATTCTATAGAATTCAAGTAGGACCTACAATAAGGGTTAATTAACAGTGCGTACAATACGCTAATTACCACGTATAAATTACTCAAGTTAATTATTATTCATATTTATTAACTCAAAACTACAAATAATCTCTTAATAATGCAGTAGATCAGTGATATTAGACTTTCAACTTAAAAAACAACATTACGTAAGAATTAAATAATAAATACGTCACACGTTAAACGCGCGCCGCGCTGTTTAACCACCTATACGTAATAACTTGGCACTTAGCCAGGGTACAAATATAATTAATGTAAAAGTACCGGGAAAATATTTTTAGCTTTGTAAACTTTTAAACTTCACGTACTTTATGGCCATTATTATCGTCTCGAACTGCGAATTGATAGACAAATCGTGGAGGAATTTCCGGTTTAGATGTTTATATCTTTACATAGCATACGCTGTGTATAACAGTCAAGAAATAAGAAAGCAAATCTGATTTCTAAGATGAAAAAGTTTTTCATTTTTCTAGGAGATAGAAAACTTTTCTATGCTTTATAAAGGATTTTCCTCTGATAGCTTCAAACAACGAAGTTATGTCTTTAAATCTCTAGTTATTATAGGCTCTAGAAAAAGGAAGAAATAACAAGAGCTGGCTCAGGCCAAGAAAAGTGTCATTAGTATCCTGTTTACTTAAATCAACATAAAATCACCGGATATGAGGGAATTAAAAAGTTTTCATACTCCTATTATCTCAAGTGCTTCATGGAGAAAGCATTATGAACACCAGTTCAAAGAAATGCAAGAAGCACTCTCAAATACGGTACAAAATTAAATTACTAAGAGTTAAATGTTTCCAAAACTGTTTGATTGTCAGACATAACGGTAGCTTGACTTAGTGAAAAGATATTTATCTAGAACACTAAAACTAATAATAGCCAACGTTAATTTCTATTCGAATATATCTTACGATTCCGGCAATGCCGCTATCAGTTTTAGATCTGTCTGTAAATTGGACTGAATTCTCGGAATAAAAAATCATTCTTGACAGACATCAATCAGAAGTATGAGAAACAGAAATTTTTCTACAGATGTTTCTTGGCTTTTCTGTGAATTTTTTTTTTTAGATATGGATTTTTACTTTTCCGGTTGTCATATATATCAGAGGGAAAATATGACGATCGGTCAAAAAAGATACTCCCAAGATTTTTACATATTTGGACTCAGAGGACTTTCAAACTTCGAAAAATGCAAGAAAAAAACTGAGTTTTTTCTATGGATTTTAGTGTGAGGGGGCACGATTTTGTTCACCCTCTTTGAAGCTTAATAACTCTTGTGTCTTTTGTCGAAAATATCTGAAATTTTCCAGGAAGATTTGTGCATTAGGGGGATTGATTCTATTAAATTTTGGTGGTTAAAGATCGAGAGTGGGGAGATAGGGAGTCATGTGTCATTTCTAGTGAAGTCTGACTTAATATTAAGATTTTACTCGTTATTAGCATTTACATTTTTTTTTATAAAACTCACCCCTACCGTTAAAATTAATGTTTTTGCCGTTTTATAATAGTTAAAAATATAAAAAGTTTTTAAAATAAAATACGATAACAGATGACGCCACTATAATTTTAAATTTTGCCGGAAAAGTTGCTCAACTCGTTGCTGGCTTATTTTATGATTCACATTAAATCTTTGTCATATTTTTTTTTTCCTTTATGATTCACCAGTCACGAGCGTCGTGTTATTACTTTCATTTTTACTTACAATCTTTAATTCAACTATACGTACTGTATTATATCATAGCTTTTTCAAGGAAAAATTCAGTATTTATGAAGCGATTTAATTATATGGTAGTACCTCGGCACTCAAACTTAATTCGCTCCAGAAGGCTGTTCGAGTGTGTACCTGTTCGGATTTTTTCCCATGAGGAATAAAGTAAATTAGATTAATCCATTTCAGACCCCAAAATAAACTTATTAAATCATTTTCATTCGAATTTAACACAAATTTAACAAGAAGTTTACGAGCTTAGCATGCGTAAATCATAAAAAAGAAACATTTAAAATGCAAAGAAATAAAGTTTAGCAGAGTTGTGACTGAGCGACTTTTATAACAGGACTGACACATTTCCTTTGTTGCAGTCGGGTATACCTACAGTGACCATACGTCCTTTATTTAAGAGGACAGTCCTTTATTTCACTGTTCTGTCCTTTAACTTTATTTATTTTCTAAAATAGGCATTTTGTCCTTTATTTTGTAAAGTTGACGCAAATTTAAAAAAATTTTTTTTAATAATATATTGAACAAGTTAGTTTTGTATACGCCATCACGACCAGTGTTGCATTGCTACATAGAGCGCAGTAGTGCAGTGTGTCGCCAACCAAACGGCCCACTGACAGTACCAGGGGGTGGACACTCTTATGGGGATTTTTGT